TGGGTCAGGCCAAAGGCAGGAGCTACGAGCTCCATCTAGGTCTCTTGTTTAGGTGGCAGGGACTCAAATACTAATGCATAATTGCGGCTCTGAGGGCCACTAACAGGAGGTTGGGTTAGAAGGCAGTAGCCAGGACTTAAACCAGGGATATAATATGGGATGCTGGTATCCCAAGCAGTGGTTTAACCAATGAGTTATAAGGCCCACCCCGTCATATAAATCTCTGAGTTACCCTGTGGAGACATTCATTCATTTATTGATTCATTTCAAATATAAGAGCAGTTTTTTTTGTTTGTTTGTTTTGTTTTGTTTTGCTGCCATTGGCTATTGCTCTTGGAATAATCAGAAGTCAGGCTCTTGCCACGTGCTGCTTGTCTCTTATTGGTGACTGACTTGAGGACACATAGGAACAGAGTATGAATTATTAGCCAGTGCTGACATTTCCCTGATGTGGAGCCTCCAAGGCTGGTCACCCTTGTCCTTGGAGCCTCCAAGGCTGGTCACCCTTGTCCTTGTCTTTTCTGGAGCATTGCTCCTATTTCTCTGTGTTGGCTTGCCTGCATTGTCCCTGTTGTGCATGCCTGTCACAACAGCCCTTCTGACTCTGGCATATTCCATTGGTGTGATTAGTAGCTTCACCCTCTCCCCCTGTGTCCATCTCCAGGTTTGGTCCCATGACATGGTGTTTGCACTATGCTACTATTACTTGTTTACTTGCTCAGTGGTGGTATTGAAGCCACCAAGAACTCTAAGACCCTTGCTGGGTAGGGCCCTGGATATTCTCAATTTCCAGCTAGCTTGAGGGGCCCATGAAAACAGAGTGATGCCAGACATCCTACCGTAGCTGTTAGGTCACGCATTCTCTCCAGGTTGAATTAGCACCCTAACCGCTTCGGTACATCTGCCTTCTTGGTGTTCAGACCATCTCACATCATGAAGTATCAATTGGTGAGGTTACAGGCATATGCATCTCAATTTTCTTTCACAAATTCCTGCCCCCACAGAGATAAGAATTCAAAACAGAGGTGTAAATATGCTGCATAAGTGAGAGTAGGATTTATTTAAGAGTGAGAGAGTGAGCAACCCCTTATGGGCAAATACTCACCATGAGTGGGCCAGAGAGTTGCCAGGGAGGAGACAGTGTGGGAAGAGGCCAGAGAAGGAGGACCCATGAGCAAGATCTGGAAAGCCAAAAAGCAAACAGGGGCTCCCCCTTTTATGAAGGAAGGGACGGGACCCTAACTGAATATCTAAGCAGGGTAGAGTCTGGGCAGGGTTTGGTGGGAGTTTCATGGCACCTCCATGTGAGTGCAACTTCCACAGAGCCATATGACATATTTCCTTTCCTGGTCCTAATGAGACAGGTATATTAGGGGAAAATAGACATAGTGGATCAACAGGTGAGGGGATGGAGTTATAAGTCAGTACTATAAAAAGTTATGGAAAATTATTCCAGTTTCATTTATTTCTACATAACACTGTGCTTAGCTTCCCCCATTCAAGTGAAGTCCGGGTCTAGCCCAGCTTATAATGGGATTAGGATAGAGTTAGAAGATGTGTTCAGCGAAGCCTGAGCCTGCCCTGTTACTATAAAATACTTACTTGGTGTTCCTCCCCAATGTCTTAACTTATGGCTCCTAAAACTCTTGGAATCTCCAACATGTTAATAACTAATTAGCTGTGCTAATGTGCTGACTGGTGCTGGGAGTTCCCAGATAGCCTCAGGATGGGGCCCTGTGGCCTGGGACCCAGCCAGGTAGTTAGAGGTTTGGAACTTTTAGACCCCATACTGTCTCAGGATGAGAGAGAGACTGTAGATTGAGTTGATTAATCCATGGAAAGTAATTTAATCCATCATGTTTGCATAGTGGAACTCCCATAACAAGCCTAAAGGACTGAAGTCTGGAAGCTTCCAGATGGATGAACACATTGAGGTTCCTGGGGAGTGACACACCCAGAGAGGGTGTAGAAACTCCATACCCTTCCCTACACTCCTTGCCCTGTGATTGTTCATCTGTATGTTTTGTAATATTCTTTGTGTAATAAACCAGTAAATCTAAGTACATAAATGTCTCCCTGAGTTCTGGGAGCTATTCAAATGAATCCAACCCAAGAAGAAGGAAGTCAAGGGAACCCTGGGATGGAAATACAGGTGACAGCTTACAATTTGCAACTGGCAAATGAAGTATCAACAATCTTGTAGGACAGAGACTTTAGCCTATGGCATATGACACTTTTTCTAATTTGACAGTGTTGGAATCACATTGAATCAGAAAATACCTCAGCTGGTGTTGGCTGAACAATCTGCTGTTGACTTTATTTCTTAGTGTGTAGGAAAATAGCTCCAAAAGCCTGATGTCACAGATGTGTTCTATGTTGAGAGTAGTAGAAGCTTGAGTTTGTTTTTCCCTATATCTCTCAGGGGACAAAAGATTTGGTTGACTTGCTCCAGTGGGATTTTTACTACTTTGTGTTCCTTCATTTCCTGGAGCCTCTTAGTGTCTTCTTCCCTGTGGACTCTTTTCTCATGAACTAGCATACCTCATGCAGAGAACAAAGCATAATTCTTTCCCAAGCAACATACAGTAGGTATTAACTGCTGGATGTAATTTTAATTTTCATTATGTATATGCCAGACTTTTGTCAGGGTAACTAACACTGGCTGCATAACCAAAACCCTGAAACCTCGGCCGCTTTCTGCAGTAAAGGGTGATTTCTCACTCAGGTTAAGCCCGAGGTAGATTGTGGGAAGGGAAGACTGCTTCCCAGTCTCTGGGATCTGGTGTTCTGCCATCTCGTGACTCCAGGCTGCCCTGGCGCTTCACAGTTATCTATTCACCCACAGCCTGGACGAGAAGCCTGTAGGATTGCATGATCAGCTTTATGGCCTATGCCTAGGTGGGTGCTCATCCCTTCTGTGCTCAGCCACTCAACTCCTGCTCACTGAAAGTCCTGCAGAGAATGACCCGTTGGTGTGCCAGGCATGGCAGATATACATAAGCCCATGCGGTCTCTTCCTCAAGTCCTGTTGCCTTGGTTTCCTCAGCAGCTGTTGGCTTAGACACTTTGGTCCATGGTTAAGCTTAAGCCACATGCCACAGAGAAGATGGATGAACCAGAAGTTTTTATCAAGTACTCATTTCATAGTTCCGTAGGCAGTGCATTAAGGCTTCGTGCAGAAAGGTGATAGATGTCTCTCTCAGGTTGTTACTAATTTCTGTGTCTAGTGAGTGATGTGACACTCTATCCATCAAAGGTTTTAGTTGGCCTGAATCTGTGGTTTTTGAGTTTCTCCCCTCTCTTTCTCCATACTTAAGTAAGCCTCTCAGCACTGTTAGCTCATGCTCTGATCAAACCTTTCTCTCTCTCTCTCTCTCTCTCTCTCTCTCTCTCTCATGTAAGTGTGGAAGGCAGAAGTACAGTGAAGGTTTTTAGTCTATTAACTACTCTTACTGCTGAGTGGGGCTGATGGCCTCAGTCAGGGAAAGGGGCCCCACTTTTGTCTGGAATTTTTGCTTGTGATTGGTTCTAGTAGCTTAGTATTCACTTCCATGTGATGCTGAAAAAGGAATGCTATCTGTGACCTCATCTGGACAACTCCTTTTAAAAATAATTCTCAGGGGGCCAGTGTAATGGCTCAACTGACTAATCCTCCACTTCCCAATGCCAATTGGCATTGGGCACCCCAATATGGGCACCAATTGGTTGCTCTATTTCCAGTGTAGCTCCCTGCTTGTGGCCTGAGAAAGCAGTGGAGGATGACTCAAGTCTTTGGCATCCTGTACAGACATAGGAAACCTGGAAGAGGCTCCTGATTCCTGGCTTTTGATTGGCTCGGCTCTAACCATTGTCGCTATTTGGGGAGTGAACCAGTATATGGAAGATCTTTCCATCTCATCTCTGTAAGTCCACCTTTCTGATGAAAATAAATAAATAATTTAAAAACATAATTTTCAGAAGAACCTCAGTGTATAAAATGGACAAAAGTGGAGCTCTTAGGATCAATCCTGCTCCCTTAGCTTCGCCTCAGCAGAGGTGGTAAGGGGCCTGCAGACTTTCCAGGTCTGAAACTCCTCAGCCACTGCAGAGGACAGGCAAAACTTCCCCAAGCCTCGTTTACATAGAAGCTTGTCACAGAACCTTGTCAGACTCCACTGCCTGCATGCCCTGTGCAATTCTAATCTCTGTCTTGCTAATTTTCTCACCTACCACAATTTCTCCTGCCCTGATGTCAGAGGTAGAGACCTTGGTGAGACCTGGGGTTTGCTTTTCATCAGATGAGCTATGTACCCTTACCAGAAGGAGTCACTACAGAGGAAGAAAGGCAGCAGTTAGTTCTGAGTTACTCATTTTCTTCTTGCCCCAGGAAGAAATTCTGGTCCCTTAAACAGCTCCCATACTCTCTGACAGCTTTATGTGCATTTTTTTTTTCTTCCTAATGAGCTCTGGTGCTCAAGTAGAGCTGGGAGGAAAAATAAAGACCTTCGGAATATGTAAATCCTTTGTGAGTTACATTAAGTTAATGAGACTAGGAAGGGAAATCTAGTTCAGCTGTGTAAATTAGCTTGCTGTTCTGGGTCTTGAGTTAAATTGCAGATTCTAATTAACTGCCCCCAAATAGCTGTGATGCAGCTGCTGAGGTCTTTTGACACATAAAAGTTTCTGTATAGATGTTCTTTTTTCTATCTCCAGAAGCCTCACAATGCCTGTAAGTTGATTGTCTACCTTAGGGAATGGCAGGTAGGTGGAGTGAACAGGGACCCTGGATGGGAAAGAGAAAAGGTTAAGAGTAGCTGGGCTTGGCAGCTTTCCTAGAGCTGGTGAGGTGTTGGAGTAGATGTGGCCCTCAGTTGGATGTGTCACCAGTGTCTCAGGTGTGCTGGGGTCTGTGTAGTAGATATGGAGGACACTAGGGTGTGAAAAAAAATGTCCTAAGGCATTGTGTTCTTGAGAATTTTGTATTTGACCAGCTGGTTAAGCTTATACCTTTCTCTTTTCAGATGATGAATTTGGAGGTACTTCTCTGAAGAAATGCCACATGGTCCAAGAAGAGACATGTCCTGTAAGTGATTTGGGGATTGACTTAAGAGTAGGAATCCGGGGCTTTTAGATGCAGAGCTTTTAAGTGGATGCCTCGAAAGACAGGACCTCTGGGTACAGGCAGACCTTTGAAATGGTGTTTGGAACCAGCCTCATGGCTCAACCTAAATATTTTAACTTCTGAGGCTGAGTTCCTTATGGAGATAACAGAGTTGTAATACACCTAATTGAAAAATCCTGAAGCTGTCTTCTTGGCTCTAAACTACATTTGGGAGTGGAGTGGGAATATGCTTTCGTACCCTGCTAGAGTCAACACCTGCCTGACTCAGCTTGCCAGGAGCCTCTGCCCAGAACCCTACCTACCACAACACTTTGCCTTCAGTTAGGTGTGGGCTATCTCTTTCACATGCTGGAAAGAAAATCAAGCACGAAGGAATACAGGGAGTTTGTGTAGCTCTGGGAACAAAGAGAGCAGGCTACAGATGTAAGCCTAGCCTCCCCAGAGTTCAGCTATACCAGGATAGCCAATAGGCAGCAGGCCTTTTCATGTAGTTCTTGACCTTCTAATAGGGTTTGTGGTGAATCCTCCATAAAACTCAAAGGTTCCAACAAAACAGCGTAGTGAGGCAAGGCAGAACATCTCAAGAGCCAAGTTTATTATTGTCATATTTGAGCTAACATCACTTGTTGTGGCGTGTCTGTTGAAGATTACAAAAATAATGTTTTTATGGGATCTTGTAGATGTGTGAGGGCAGAGTGACTAGAAGGAGTCAGAAGCAACAGACACATTCTGGGTCCTCTCTTGTCTAAAGACCTTTGTCCCTGTGTCTCACCTGTGATAGGTCACGTTCTGTGTCCATGCTTGTCTCAATAGACATTGTCCTGATTTCTTACCAATTCTTTCTCCTGTGTTTCAGGGTTATTGCCGCCTTAGGCAACTAGGAGCTGATGACAGCGTTTCCCCAGGAATCAGGCGTGGTCTGACCCAGGAACAAGAAGCACATCCTCACCAATGACATCATGACAGCAAGAGAGCACAGCCCACGCCATGGCACCAGGGCCCGTGCAATGCAGCGGGCTTCCACCATTGATGTGGCAGCTGACATGCTGGGCCTCTCCCTGGCAGGTGAGCCTCACGCTAAGCCTCCTGGGACTGCCCCCAGCTGAAGAGGGTTTATGGGTGGTGTCCTCCTGAATGAACCAGGAAGTAGAGAGGGGAAGTTAACTCTCTTCCTGGGGACTGCTATTGGAACCCAAGCTTGTCAGTTTTCCAGGACTCATCTGCCAGTAGGTAATGTGGGACTGTTCACACTGCCTGTCTGGATCATACTCAGGCCATGATAAAAGCCAGTAGATTAAGCTGTCACTTGGGATACCTGTTATTCCACACTAGGAGTGCTGGTTCAAGTCCCAGCACCTTTACCTCCAATACAGTGTCATGCTAATGCATATGGGAAGGCAACAGATGATGGCTCCAATGCTCGTGTTCCTGCCACCTACACAGCAGACCCTGCTGAAGTTCCAGGCTTCTGACTTTGGCCTGGTCCAGCCCTGGCTATTTTTAAACACATAGGGAGTGAATCAGATGGATTGAGATCTCTCTCTCTCTCCCTTCTCTCTCTTCTCTCCTGTCTCCTTTTTTCTCATTCTACCTTTTAGGTACATGAGAATTAAAAAAAAACTTTTAAAAAAATCCCCATTGTGTGCATGTAGACCTGAACAGAAGGGGGCGGGGTTGGTTTTGGGATGTGAAACTTCTTAGAAATTCCAAAAATGAAATCTTTATTAAAAATGAAGAAATCATATGTCAAAGTTGAAGGTTGGGATGGGAAGTAGTGTTGAATTTTTCTACATTCAATCCAAAATAAGGGAAAGTGTACTAAAGGTGATTTTTCTGTCATTGACTTTCTGTTCAGGAAACATACAGGACCCAGATGAGCCCATTTTAGAATTCAGCTTAGGTGAGTGTCTTTTACATTTTCCCTATTTAAATGTGTGTTGTTTAAGAACAAAGGCAACCACAGTCTTGAGTCTGCCTCAGAGAACTTGCTGTTGTCACCACTGCTTAAGTGTTTCTGAGAAGATGAGGCCATGAACTTCCTGTGGGTGAGAAGGGAAGTTCATCTAGAGATGTGCTCCCCACAGGCTGGCAGTACTTGGGGAGTGGGGAGTTGAGCCCACCAAAGGCTCCCAGCAGTGACAGATACCTTCTCCACCCGCTCCTGGGGAGAGAAAGGGAGAGGTGAGAGAGCTGGGTTTAACATTGTGCTTTGCCACTGTCTGGCTGTTAACACCTTGTGTGATTGAGTGTAAGCCTACTAGCCACTGGTTACTTACTGCATGAAAGGTGGCAGTGACTCAGGTGTGCTCTTCCCAGCAGGAATGAGATGAAATAATATACTAAAAACTGGATTGAAAAGTACCAGGTCTGACTCAGGGAACTATGGTGCCACCATGACTTACCCAAGGGACTGGAGAGCTGGGTGGCATGAGGCGTTTCTCTAGTATCCCTCTTTCTTCCTTTCATTCCTTGGTATCAGAGAGCATTGGTTAGTGTCATGGTGATGATGTCTTGGATGTAATGCAATGTAAATAAGGTTCAGATGTCCTGCCTTACTGCGTCTGCTACTTCACTTGCTGCGCTACATGTTCTATGGGAGTGTTATTGCTTGTTTGAAACCCAGTTACACCAAACCTCCCACCTCACCAAGAAGACTTGGACAAAAGAAAATCCATTAAAATATTTAACCCTAAATATTTACCCATAAGAATATTAAACCCTAAAAATGTCCCCATTTCAGATTCAATACTCTGAACAAGGTCAGAGGGTCTTTCCCGACTTTGACTTGCTGGCTGGTTCTGGGGACAGTAGCAAGCACTATGGTATGAACTGGGAATGGGAAATTTGGGGAGAAGCAGCCTACAGTCCTATGAAATTCTCACCCACTTGCCCATTCTCACTTTAGAAGAACTAAAACTGACCCGAAGACTTGTTTTCTGGTAGCAGTTTTCTAGCATTGTATTGCCAAATCCCCCTTTATTTTATATCAAAACAAGTATCGGGGGCCCGATGGTGTGGCCTAGCAGCTAAAGTCCTCGCCTTGAACATGCACTGGGATCCCATATGGGCACCGGTTCTAATCCTGGCAGCTCCACTTCCCATCCAGCTCCCTGCTTGTGGCCTGGGAAAGCAGTTGAGGACAGCACAGAGCCTTGGGACCCTGCACCTGCGTGGAGACCCGGAAGGAAGTTCCTGGCTCCTGGCTTCAGATCGGCACAGCACTGGATGTTGTGCTCACTTGGGGAGTGAATCATCGGACAGAAGATCTTCCTCTCTCTCCTCCTCTCTGTATATCTGACTTTGTAATAAAAATAAATAAATCTTAAAAAAAAAGTATCAGGACAGATAAGGAACAAAAACATAGTGAAACACTTTTTGGAACCCCAGAATATAGAGGGAGCAGCTGGAGTACTAGTCAGGAGAGAGGAATGTGGTTACACCTTGCCTGTGTGCTGGCCTATAGGTGACAGAAGCAGTGGGACAGTGGAGGCTGTATGTAGAGAAGAATCTGGATTCAACCCACATCGGCTCTTTCTGCTTCTGCATTTCTCAACAGAATAAAACATCTAGTCCCTGCGTGGGCAGGTCCTGAAGCGGATATTTGAGTTATTTCCAGTTGTGTCTATTAATAAAGAATGTTATTTTTAATGATTATATAATTATTATATGATATATGGTATATTATACATTACAATATGACATATTATATATAATAATATTATTAAAGAATAAAGCTACAGTGAACATTTGCATGGCAATCTTTGGTTGCACAGATATCCATTCTGTCCAAATCCATAAGAACGAAGATTAGAAAGAAGCTAGACGTTGAGCATGCAGGCTGGGGGCAGTGGTGCCCAAGCCAGTGAATGGGAGCTAGCGGGCCTGCTTCTGGTTGCATTCCATAATGCCAATGTTTCTTTACCTCAGCAAGGAGTGAGCACTTTTTCTGCAGAGAAGAAGTCTCCTGCCTGGAGGACTAAGGATGAGAGGAGGATACCAGGAGGGAGGGGAGCTGAGTATTCAGTAAAGACTGCCAAAAACCTTGGGTTTTGCCTGGCTCCTCACTGTCATACCTCTGGACTATGTGCAGTGGTTCAAAACTAGAAACAGCCCAAGTACTATCAATTGTTTAATAACTAAAAATTAACTAAAGGATAGTGACACCGTGTGGAGCTTTTATTCAAGAAAAATAGCTTTTTCAGGGAGAGCAGAGAGCTTTACATTATTTTCACATGTTGTGTGCTGGCTCTCCTCTGTCCAGTTCTGACATGAAAACAGTCTTGAAATCATGGTGAAAGCTAGCAGCCCGGAAGGAATCAGAATGAAGGTTGGAAATCCTACAAAGTCCAGTTCTCAGAGGATTGTCATTGACGCTCTGTGGAAAAGCTTAATTGCAGGACTTGTCTTTATTTGGCCTAAACTCAGAATTTACTGGGTGGAAAGTTTTTTTTTTCCCTGAGAGTGCTTCAGGAAAAAACTAAGAAGACCACAAGCAATCACCTTGGACTCACCTTGAGGGTCTATAGAATCAAGAAGTAAAGACAGGATTAGAATTGCCTATAAAACTGTATCACATAATACAATGTTAATAACAATTAAAACAAATAAATAAAACTTAAAAAAAAAAGAAATTGGACATTGAAGGGGTACCCTGATATGGTTGTGGAAGCTTGTCCAAACCGCCATAAATGTCTGTGGTTCCTGCTGTTTAAGGAAATCTCTGTCTCATCATTATCTGACCCCCAAGTGAACCAAGCAGTCAAGTCAGTCGTCACACATGGCAAAGAACATTAACTCCACAGAATTTTACCAGGAAAGTCACAAAAAGCAACACCAAACCCTAGGTATTTGTAGGAGCTCTTGGGTTTCCAGAGTTGCTGCATTATGTTATTTAAAATGCTTAATTTTCAGCAACAACAAAAAATTACACCTGAAAAAAAGCTGTGAAAGTATGGTGCATACATAGGGAGAAAAACCAAATCTAGTCAGTGGAAACCATCCCCAAGGAAGCACAGGTATTTTAGTGAAAGATTTAAAATCAGCTGTCTTAAATGTGTTAAAAGAACTAGAGGAAACCATGTCTGAAAAAACTAAAAGATAATGAGAAAATAACATTTCACCAATAGAAGATACCGTTTAAAAAGAAACAAATCGATTCTGGAGCTCAGGAGTACAGTTTCTGAAATGTATAGTTATTGAGAAGGGTTTACCTGCAGATTTGAGCAAGGAGAAGAATCAATTAGCAAACTTGGAGATAAGTCGATTTTAATAAGATAAACAGGAATAGAAAGAGTAAAGGGAAAAAAGAGCCTCAGAAGTATCAGATGTGCCATTGTACATGCATTGGGAATTGGAGATGGAAAGGAAAAGAAAGCATATTGAAGAAGTCAAGGCAAAAACTTCCTATAGTTGATGAATAACATTAATCTGTGTATCTAAGAAGTCGAATGAACTTCAGATAGGATACAGTGAAAGAGATTCACAGCAGGGTACATTATAAACTATTGAAAACCGAAAGCAGAATTTCGAAGTTGGCAGGAGAGTCATCATGATGTGTAGAAGGTCATCATTAAGAATGATAGCTAACTCCTCTTGAGAAACCACGGAGCTCCCAAGGTATTGAGGTAACCTATTCAAATTTCTGAAGGAAGACAGTCAACCAAGAATTGTATATCCAACAAAAATATCCTTCAAAAATGAAATAAAAAGACATGTCCATGCAAAAATTGCCTACAGATGTTCATAGCATTGTTCACAATAACTAGAATGTGGAAAAGTCAAAATATCTATTAGTTTATGAGTGAGTAAAAATGTAGGTTACCTTCATATGATAATGTATCCTTCCATTAAAATATGATATGTTATTCCAAAAAAAGTGCAAGTTTTCTTCCATTAAAAAAGAGTATTCATCCTCAAAGAGGTATAAATGACCCTTGAAAATGTGCCAGATGGAAGAAGGCAGACATGAAAGGCCACACACTATATGATTCTATTTATATGAAATGTCCCGAATAGAGAACTTTTTACAGATTGAAAGTGGATTAATGGGTTCTAGGGAATTGGAGGAGGATGCATGGAGGCTGATTGCTTATGGTATAAGCTTCTTTTTTCTGAGAGATGACAATATTAAGGAATTAGACCATGGTGATATAGCGCTGTTCTATAAATACTCTAAAAATTATATCCTTTGAGAGTGAGTATCATGGTATGTGAATTAAGTCTTAATAGAAGATAGTTTTAAAAAATCATGAGAACGCTGCTGAAATCTGTTAGAAACCTATGAAAGGAAATGGAGGTTAATGTCACTGCTAAAAGAAAAAAAACATTGAAAAATAGATTGTGAATGAAGAGATAGGACAAATTCTGGAGTCCTAATTTTGAGTGAACAAACCAGAATTATTGAAGGAGACAGAAAGAGAAGCAGGCCAGAGGTATGGGACAACACGTTCTTGAGAAACAGGTAGACCCAAGACCTGGGTTCTGCTTGTGAAACTTCTAGATCCCAAGGAGAAAAAGAAAATCTTACACGCCAAACAAACAAAATTCAAGTCCTGCCCGTCTAAACAGCTGTAAAAATGGCAGATGTGTCTTTAGGGGACTGATAGAATCGTAGAAGATCTGAGGATAGAGGCTAACTTCTGCTTTTGAGGGCTTGACCATGCTTCCCAAGAACAGGAGGCTGAAAGATCAGAAGACAGAACGGTGCTAAGATGACTGAGACTGTGTGCTGTGGTCCTCGTGGGCAGGGACTTTTGTGCCATCCTTTTAAAGACTACACTTCTGGGCCTGGCTGCGTGGCCTAGCGCCTAAAGTCCTCGCCTTGAACTTGCCGGGATTCCATATGGGCACCGGTTCTAATCCTGGCAACTCCACTTCCCATCTAGCTCCCTGCTTGTGGCC